GGTGCCATATTGAATATCATGGTTCAAGATTTGTTCACCAATGATCAATATCACGAACTAGTAGATGCGACTAATCTAACGTACAAGGTTCGTTCGGAGAACTCTATTTTCTTTGAGGTCGATGGCCCATACAAAGCCATGGTGCTACCCGCTGCGAAGGAAGAAGGAAAGAGATTGAAAAAACGCTATGCTGTATTCAATTTCGATGGTAGTCTAGCCGAACTGAAGGGGTTTGAAATCAAACGGAACGGTGAGTTGCAGTTGATCAAGATATTTCAGTCCTCCGTGTTCGAGGCATTTCTGCGTGGTCGCACGCTCACCGAGGTCTATGCATCGGTGGCTAGTGTGGCTGATCATTGNATTTTCCAAAGGTGCAGACATGCCGGATTCGGAACTGTTCGATCTGATCTCGGAAAATAGAAGCATGTCACGACGTTTGGAGGACTATGGCTCCCAAAAGTCCACTTCCATTAGCACCGCTCGTCGCATGGCCGAATTTCTTGGGGATCAAATCGTTAAAGATGCCGGTTTGTCGTGTCGTTTTGTTATTTCCAAACAACCGGAAGGTGCTCCGGTTACAGAACGAGCCATCCCATTGGCCATATTCCAGGTACCTTTGATTTTGTTACTATTGTTGTCTGACACTGTGATGAGTTTTGTGTGACCAAAATCTAATCCATGCTGCACTCCGATGACAATTTTTAATGACGACGGATAGGAAGTAAGCAATCCTGGGAATTGCAGATACCACGTGAATGTGGCTATTGGCACAATTCTACCAACAATTTCGAAAAAGTTTCATCGGAACTTCACAAGCTAATTGAGGGTGAATGATTAAATGATTTTAGTTCGTGCTGGAGCATCAGGTGTTCGAACTGCATCTAATCTCCCTTACACTTATTCTTCTTAAGATATCATGAAGTTCATCGCTTCAATTAGCATAATTTGAATTGTTAGTTTTGATACCCACGCGGTATTCTGAAATGTATTGGTACTTCAAATATAGCGTTTCAAACACAGATATCTAGGTGTTCTGTAA